ACAAAGAATCCCCCTGGCATTGGGGACCCAAAGAAGCCCACGCTTTCAAGTCAGTCAAATCCTTACTCACATCTGATGCAGTTTTAATCCAATATAATCAACGACTCCCCCTGGTCCTAGCTGCTGATGCATCCCCCTTTGGGATTGGGGCTGTTCTGAGCTACAGGCTTCCCAATGGTTCTGAGGCACCAATTGCCTTCTTCTCCAGGACCTTCTCTACTGCAGAAAGGAACTACAGCCAAATAGATAAGGAGGCCTTGGCTGCAGTAGCTGCAGTAAAAAAGTTTCATGAATTCTTGTTTGGGCACCATTTTGAACTTATAACTGACCATAAACCACTCCTGGGGCTTTTATCAGGGGATAAGCAAACCCCACAGGTACTATCACCTAGAATGACCAGGTGGACTTTGTTCCTGGCCACTTACTCATTCAAGTTGGTGCATCGCCCTGGAAAAAACTTGAGTCACGCTGATACCCTTAGTCGCTGCCCCCTGCCAGTCCCAGTCGAAGACCCAGCACCCGTTCATGCCATTTTTGAAGTTAATGAACTAAAATTGCCGGTTACAGCTGAGGACATTGCTGCGCACTCAAAAAAAGACAGAATAATTGCCCAAGTCATGGACTGGGTGGGAAGGGGGTGGCCTGAAACACAATACACTTCTGACTTTGCTCCTTTCAAAACCCGTAAGCAGGAATTGTCAAAGCTACAAGGATGTCTGTTGTGGGGAACAAGAGTAGTCATCCCAGCCACCCTTCAGGTACCCATCCTAAAGGTACTTCACGAGGGCCACCCGGGCATCGTAAGGATGAAGGCTCTGGCCCGCAGCTACGTTTGGTGGCCTGGCATGGATGCCCAAATCTCCAACTGGGTAAGCTCATGCCAACCTTGCCAAGAAACCAGGGCTGCCCCTCCAGCGGCCACGCCTACCAAGTGGGAAAGTGCTAGTGGTCCTTGGTCTCGCCTGCACATCGACCTGGCTGGGCCAGTACATGGCAGGACCTTCTTGGTTGTAGTAGACTCTTACTCCAAATGGATAGACTTGGCCCTACTACCTTTGACAACCACTCAAGCAATTGTTAAGGCTCTGACCCGTTTCTTCGTTACCCATGGGCTCCCTGATATGCTGGTGTCTGACAATGGCCCCCAGTTCACGTCTTGTGAGTTTAGCATGTACGTTGCCAACTTGGGCATCAGACACATCCTTACAGCCCCTTTTCACCCCGCTAGCAACGGGATGGCTGAGAGGGCAGTCAGGTCAGCAAAAGAGGCAGTTGCCAGGTTTGGCCAGGAAAACTGGCACTCCAAGTTGTCACGTTACCTCCTGAGCCAACATACGACGCCATGCACCGCTACAAATAAGTCCCCAGCAGAGCTCTTGATGGGGAGACGCCTTAGGACCACCCTGGACAGGTTGCACCCCCACTACTGCCCAGATACCCCTTTAGGATCTGACAGTTTGGTCAGGGACTTTGCCCTGCATGACCTGGTGTACGCCAGAAATTATGCAGGGGATCCTCTGTGGGTACCAGGTCAAGTTGTGTCAGTCACAGGTCCTAGATCCTACAGGGTCCTCCTGGAAGATGGACGCCTGTGGCGTAGACACGTGGACCAGCTCAGAAGGCGATGGAGAAGCACAGCTGATACCTACCCAGCCCAATCCCCTAGCACCGAGGACTCCCTGCCGGAACCAGTCTACCAGACGGAAGCTCCCTGCAGGACCCAATCTACCCCATCGACCAAGAGAGTTTGCTGGAGGGCCCGGGCTACCAACAAGGGACCCCGAACCAACAGCCAAGCGAACCTGTCTGCCAGCCGGACCAAACGACTCACCAAGGTCAGTCCGAACAGGGGGACTTACCTAATTCACAGAGCACCACACCTGACCGAGCCCGCCCCCCAACATCCTCCGAGACGATTCCTGGGGGCGAGGACTTGACACCAGCCAGCAGCTTGCCCGGGCTGCGACATTCCTGCCGCCAGCGCAGACAACCAACTTACCTGAAGGACTACGCATGCTCCCAGCTGGGGGAAAGGAGTGTTATGTCTTTGGGACTGGTTGGAGTCCCCAACCAGGTCCGCTGTTTGAGCGGGAGCACCAGCCACTCCCATTGGCTGGCACCATTTGACAGCCGTCTATAAAAGGCGGCTGTCGGGCAGTGTCAGCCCCGTTGCCGCCAGCTAACCTGCCAAGTTAGAAGGCAGACGCGGCAACCCTTTATTCTTGCAATAAAGCCTTTAACGTTTCACTCTGGCTCAGCCTCGTTTCCTCCGCCGCTCCACAACAGGCTCCTTACCTCAGAAGCTACAACATGTATTGAGGACAAGATCTTCTCTACTATTAGTCCCAATCAGAGTTCCCTTTCTGTTGCAAACAACAGCTTTGGGAAATCATAATCAATTCTCTTCAGATTATAGGCAAAAGTTACGTAAACATTCTTAAATGCATTCATATAGTAAATATAGGATCCCAAGGTCCAGCATGATATCAAGCATAGCACCCCACAATCAAAAGAGGTGCTCCCAATTCATTATTCCCTTCTTCTTTAAGGAGACAGCAGGAATATCCACAACAGATGTTAAAAAATAAGGTGTCAGGGTTGTACTAGGTAGCACTCAACTTATAACAACAGGTGGGACCAGAATATCTGTTACTAAGCAAGTGATTAAGCAAATAATTAAGTGACCCATGCCCAATTTTATTACCTTTTTGCTACTGTTGTTAAGTGAATCACTGCAGTTGTTAAGTGACTCCAGCTTCTCCCATTGACTGCTTGTTGAAAGCCATTTGAGAACATTGCAAATGGGGATCACATGACCCTGGGTCACTGCAACCATTGTGAATACATGTTAGTTGCCAGGTTTTGATCCCATGGAATGCTGCGTAAGTGTGAGAACCAGTTGTAAGTCACTTTTCTCAACACCAGTGTTACTTCAAATGATTGCTAAACAAAATGGCTATAAGTCAAAGGCTACCTGTAATTGCATAATCACAGCCCTGGGCCCTTTTTACATGCTGTGCTAGTCAGGGAAACAACTATAACTTTTTTTAAAAAAAAATCTCCCCTGCAGACATTCCTGAGTGTTAAAAAGAGAAAGAGCTTGGAAGTGTTAGGGGGATTTGAGAGAAAGTAAACAGGGGCAGCTCCAGGACTGTAGACATTGTGTTCAGCATCTCCTCAACCAAGGCAGAATCAAAGTTAAGCAACAGCTCTGGCTGTTGTAGGATTATAAGGAGAGCCGGTCCAAACATCTCATCCCAAGCTGTCTTCAGAAGTAGCATGCCTAAGAATTTAGTCCTCTTAAAGTTTGGAGCGAGAGCTGAGATTTCATTTTGCATATTGGATGATAGTGTTTGTGTGGGATCAGACAAAAAAAAAGCTTTCTGCTAATAATTCTTCCATGCAGATGATCAGGGTAAGTAATATTTTACCCTGCACTTGTGGATACCTAATCCATTGTCATTAAATCTTTCAGATCACTTGCAGTGACATATGGATTTTCGTTTGTTATTCTGATTAGTTTGGGGACAATTCTAGCAGATTTTTCTTTCTTTTGGTTTCAAGCTAATAACCCATACAGACTGCACAAACTGGAAAGGGATTGAATATTTCAGCAAGACGGTGATTTTGAAACATACTTCCAAATTCCCCATGAAGTCTATACAGAAAAAAAAATTTTGGAATGATCTTCCCATTCCCAATATTTGAATGTTAATGTAAGTCTGTGAGGAGATATCAAACATACAGTTCATGCAAAGATGCTGGACAATGTATTTCAGCTAGATCCAGCAAGAGTGGGGAGTGGGGGAAGGCCAAATGAAAGAAAAGGTAGCTACTTTTCTACCATAAGAAATGTTTGCAAGCTGTGATTTTTGGCAAAGGATTGCTACAAAGCACTGATAAATTGTCCAAACCTTTGCATCCTGTCGTATTTAGTTTTCTTTTTTGAAACCACAAACAACTGCACATAAATAGTAATGTATTCAAATCTGTGAAAAATGCAATATTTATGTTTGTAATATGTAGAGGTTGTGTCATCATTTATGTTCATTAAGGGATTCACTACAAGATACCATTTGACTTTGGTGCTTAAACCTTTGCATACAAATTCTGTCTCTGGAATTTGACATCTAGCAACAAATCAAGGCTTGAGAATGTTTCATGCATAGGCTAACTCAAATAATTAGTATATTATTTGAAATACTGCAAGGATAAATCTATATCTAATTTGCAGAAACAGATTCTTAATAGAAGCTGTTTGCCAATATTTGAATTTTGAAGGGTTTTTTATTTCAATCCATGGGCCCCCCCCCCCCCCAAAAAAACCAGTTTTGAACCCTTGGCTATATTTTTGGTATTCTTCATGATAAAATTATCCAGGTTTTTTTATTATATCATTATTGCATAGTCATTTGCATGTACTGTAAGTCCTTTATTATCTCAATGTAATTTTATTTATTGACATAATAATAATTTCTTTTTTAAAAAAATCCAGTCCCACTGGATATTTCTATCATGTTATTTTTAGGTTTCCCCAACACTGAAGGTGCTTAACCTGGCATGCTGATTTGTGTCCTTTACTAGAAGGTTTTCGATTATTGCAAATTATTTGCCAATAAGGATGGCTTAAGCCTTAGAATAGGCCTGTTAAACTGGCAGCCCATGGGTCGGATACGTCACATGTATGCCACACCCACCACAGCTCCGCAAAGGCAAAAAACATCGCAATACGACATGATCCAGCCTGTGACATGATCAAGTTTGACACTCGGGCCTTAGCGCTATGAGATCTGGACTGCAAACAACCAGACAACCAGTAGATGGCAGCCAAGAGCAGAGTTTAATAGTACCTCTTTACTGCCTTTAGGGAAATCCAGATTTTTGCAGCCCAAATCTAGTATGGTAGTTTAGTTCATTCTAAATATTGAAACATAAAATTGCTGGAGTAGAAATTACCATTTAGGAACAGATGGTTTGTTGATGAGAATGAATGAGGATTACGCAAAGTCATTAAAAGTTGTACTTATTATGAAAGCATGCTCATGTGGAACAGATCTGGCTTGAATGGAAGTAGTAATAACTCTCCCTTAGGCTTTTTAAAGTGACCCTGTTTCCACTGTATAGCAACAATTGTTTTTAATGGTAACTTATTTCACCAATCATAAACTGTTTCAGGAAGCATAGGTCTCATTTTTCTCATTCAAAAATTATATGCCTGGCAATTATCACTGGCAAAATCTTTAATAAAAATATCAAATGGTTTTGTTTCCAGTTCAATTCCACCTGACCCACTGATGATTGAACATTGGCAGTTGCAGGAGAGGTTAAAACGGTGAAGATGGCAGCTACAACTGCAGAAATTCTGTTTTTATCCATGACTGCACATGCTGTATCATGTAAAAAAGGGCATGGCTTTGATCATGCAGTTACCATTATGACTTTTTTGACTTTTTCTGTGGTAGACAAACTTGGCCAATCAGCAAATCAAGAAAAAAAATAGGTGGTTGGTTTTTCACAATGCACAGAAGGTTTCCAATGATTTGGTTAGGCAATTTTAAGCAAATTTATTTTAATTGTATGACTTATACAGCTACCTATCTCATACTACAACTACCCAGATCTTACATGTGGTAAGATCTTCGCTGATGATGTAAAACTATTCAACACCACCGTCAATGCTACCGTTCTTCAAAAAGACCTTGATTATGTATCTGAATGGTTTAACAGTTGACAACTCCAAATTTCTACCAACAAATGCTCTGTCCTACACATTGCTAAAAAAAAAAAAATCTATATACCAAATACAAGCTAGGCAGATATGACCTTGTTGATGACCCTCACTTTGTCAAGGACCTTGGAGTCCTCATATCGAATGACCTAAGCACCAAAACTCACTGCAACAGTATTGCCAAAAAGGCTTTAAGAGTTGTAAATTTAATTTTACGAAGCTTCTCCTCTGGTAATATAAGCCTTTGCTAGACCAATACTTGAATTCAGCTCCGCTGTCTGGAATCCACACTGTATATCAGACATAAATACAACTGAGTGAGTCCAGAAGTATTTTACCAGAAGAGTACTATATTCCTCTGTTCGCAACAGAATACCCTACACCACCAGACTTGAGATTCTAGGCTTAGACAACCTTGAACTACACCGGCTAAGATTGGACTTAAGCACAGTACATAAAATCATAGGTTACAACGTCTTACCAGTTAATGAATATTTCAGCTTTAACCACAACAGATATAAACTAAATGTAAACCACTCCAAACCTGATTGCAGGAACTACGATTTCAGCAACAGAGTGGTCAATGTCTGGAACTAACTACCTGATTCTGTTGTCACCTGCTCAAACCCCCACTCCTTTACCCTCAAACGCTATTGACCTCACCCCATTCCTAAAAGGTCTGTAAGGGGCATGCATAAGCGCACAATTGTGCCTACCGTCCCTGTCCCAAAGTCCCCAATTATTAGTTCCTATTTCTTGTATTTAAATTTATGTTTATTCTTGTTTCTATTGTATTGTAAGCTTTAACAAATAAATAAAAATAAATAAAATAAAATAAAAAGATGATCTGCCAATTAAATAAATAAATAATAACTAAAAAATACAATACAATAACTAGGGAGCTCATAACAATCCATAAAACATGGTTAAAAACAAAGGTGCCTGCCTTCAAGCCCCAAACACACAAATAAATACCCTCATCCTTGCCCAACGCTTGAGGGAATTCCAGATCTTCACTGCCCTCTGAAAGCTAAAAGGGAAAGGATTTTGGGTAGGAGGCTATTCCAAAGGTCTGGGACAATACAATGGAATGTGGGAATGATCTTGGAAGATGTGGGGGAGAAAGATGTTATCTAGAGAATTATCAAAAAGGGAGGACAACTGCACAACAGACAAACAAAGAAACTCAGAAAAGATCCTACCCAACTTATCAGTCTGTAAAAAGAGACAGCGGGAGATTTAAATTTTGAGGCTTATAAGATTGGTATCAGCCTTGTCAGGTAGACCACACAGAAAACACAACTGGATGATCTAATTCTATTTTATTGTAAGGCTACATTAACAGAATCTTGCAAATCTGAAGACACAAACTTCTCATTGGACATTTTGACCTTTTGACCAATTAGGGTGGATTTTTCCTAAGTTTCTTTCTCTGACAGATAGTCCAATGGGGGTTCCAGTCTCTCTTGTCTGATTGTTTCCTAGGCAGCACCTCTGCCCCTCATTCCCCAAGGCCATTCACACAGTCCATTATAATTTTGGAACCAGTTGCAGCTTCTGAATGGTCTGCAAGGGATGCTCCTTGTATAGCACATGACAGTAATTCAAACAGAAGATAATTATGTCATGGGTAACTGCAGGGGTGGGATTCAACCGATGTAACAACTGGCTCAGTAAGCGTGAGCTTTGTGGGCACACACAGCATTTGCAACTCATCTTCTTCTGTAAGCCCTGCATGTAAAACAGCTGATGCACAGCAATCTGCTGTGCTGTGTGAATCAGCTGAGCTGGAAAAGTTGGAAATAAAGCATTGACTAGAGCCAGGGTGGGTGGATGGGCCCAACAGCTGATCATCAGAGCAAACTGGTTCACTCTCAGCTGATCTTCGGAGCTACTGATTCAGCCGAATTAGGCCAAACCAGTAGAATCCCACCCCTGGGTAACTGTAAAGCTTCCCAGTCCAGCAATGGAAGTAATTGGCATACCAGATAAATATATACAAAGCCAACTCCCTTCTTCTCTAACCACAGCTGTTACCTGCTCTTGCAACAGGAGGCATTAGTCCAAGAGGACCCCCCCCCCCCAGGTGTGGGATACGACAGGGTTAACTACTGGTTAGGGATTTACGAGCTTCCCTGCCCGCTGTGAGCCGCGCGCCTGTAAATCGTCATTAGCACGCTACGTGCTGAGAAGCAGCCTTTGAAACAGCCTTCTTTTTTTGTTTTTTTAACTGCAGCTGTGCCTCGTTCGGCAGCTGAAGTTGAAAAATCAGGAAATAAATATCAGGTAAGAGCCTGGGTCGGCAGGTGGGCCAAAACATCAGCAGACATAGAACCAGTTCTATGTCTGTTGCTCTTCAGAGCTACCAGTTCTACAGAGGTGGACAGAACCGGTAGAAACCCACCCCTGACACACACACACCATTGCACACCAAATCTGTATGTAGGAGTGGTACTCCATCCCAGGTCAGAGTTGTCAACTCTTCTGAACCTGAGGGGACAAAAACCCACAACCATTTCATCTTGCTAAGATTGAGTTGCAGCTGGTTTCTCCATATGCAGAACCATATGCCCTTATGGTTTCCAGGCACTGTAACTGAATAAATGGGACACATAAATGTTTGATTTTATCATCTTTGGTTGATATATATTTATTACTTCACAATGTGAAAAGTTAGCTCTGTCACATTTGCAGTTTTCTAATCGATGTTATTGAATAGAGCCAAGTCTTCTGCCTCAGAATTCTTTCCATTTTTTAATCCCCATCTGGAGGCTGGGAACAGAAGCTGCTTCTTTGGTTTGATGATGATGACTAACATAAGAGAAAGGCTGTTCACAGCAGATCTCACACCTGGATAACTAAAAAAGATCATAAATTAAAAGTCCATCTTTGTAATTAGGCAAATTACAGAAACCAAATCTGTTTGCTCTTTTTCTGTGTTATGGTATAAATTATTCTTGGAGATTTGAGTTCAACAAATTGTTGGAGGGTGTGCTCTTGAACATATGCAGAGTGTAAAAAAATACCAAGTAAGTAAGGAGCAGAAAGTCCCATTAGAAGGAGGGGGGAGGTGTCACAACATATTTGCATTAGAAACATAGTATGGCCTTTGCTCAATTATGACTAAATTCTAGTAGGAATTCTTTAAACATTGTAGGAAGTTAGCACCCACCTCTCTCCTAGGAAATTGAAATAGCCTAGGAAATATTAAAAAGGCAGAATATTTCCTCAAAAAAGAGTAGAAACTCAGAAGCAGAAACTCCCCCCAGAAGCAGAATCTCACCCCCACCTTTGTTAATGGGTGGGCCATTAAGGCCTGGGCCAGAATACTTTACATAACAAGGAACTCCAGGTAAAGCTATAGTAATTGCCAAAAGCCCTTTTCAATGCATCATTATCCAGCAAGGCTCAACCAAGCCTGGAACTCAGTACAGCCTACAGAGTTGCCCCGGGAGTCTGACAACCAATTAGAATACAAGCTCCAGTTCAAATCCCAACAGAGGGTATAAAACCCAGGCACTCTCAGCACCCCAGTCCTCTTTTTTCTTGATCTTTTCTCACCTTGAAGCATGTGGTCACCCTTCTCTGGAGCTCCAGGCCACCATTAAACCTTCCAAGCAGCCTCCATGTTTCCAGTGTCTTTTTCCCCACTTGGAACTGAACCCAGAAGGATATTTCTTTCAACAACACAAAGCGGATTGGGGAATATATTGCATACAGAAGCCTCATATTTAAACTACATCATGAAAATATGAAGGGAAAGCACCAGAGTGAAATAGGAAGTTCCTTTTGTTTCTTAAACAGAGAGGCTCCTTTAATGAACATAAGGATAGATGAGACAGAGACACAAGGCATGAGGCAACTCACAGATACAAGGAGATGAAACAGTCACCTATAGTTATTAGTCATCTCATCTTTCTTCCAGTGAAAGCATCTTTCTGTTCCTGAATTTGCCAAGAAATGAAAAAAAACGCAACCGCTCCACCTGGCTAGGCTTGAGTTGCAGCTGGGTTCTTCATATGCAGCTCTTACGATTTCCAGGCACTGTAACTAAATACGGACACATAAAAATTTGTCATCAGAGCCTGATCTTTCTAAGACACACAGGTATCAAACTCATGGCATCACGTTGCCGTCACGTGACGTTTTGTGACTTTTTTTCCCTTCGCGGAGCTGGGGTGGATGTGGCCTGCATGTGATGCATACGGCCCATGGGCCACCAGTTTGACACCCCTGTTCTAAGAGGACTAACATCTTTCATATCTGGGTCATTATTTGGATCTGCTAAGTTTATTGGGAGGCATTGGCTGATTAAATCAGTAAGTCATTTTTTTTAAAGTCTGATCTACACTATACCTGAATTGATAAGTTAACACACAGAGAGACACCCTCTAAAATCAAGTATTTATATTGTATTTGAAATGTGATTCAGTAGTTAATATGCCAGTTCCTCAGACATACTGGTTGAGATCTAATTCTCAGCTACAAGTGGATGCCTTTGGGCCCGTTCCTATTTCTTATAGGGACCCTCACATTCGCAATTTTCAAATAAGTGTATTCTCAGAATTGAATCTGTGCAAAACACTTGCGCACTGTAAAATGTGCAGGGTGAACATTTCCCTTTAAAATGCACAAGTGAAAGCCCTGGGGGAAATTACTATAAATACTATGGAAAATCGGGGTGGTAATAATGCATGCATTAAAAGCATAACCTGTTTCTAATTTGTCTGCCACATATCCATCCAGCATAGCCTCTCTTGTCTCTTTGCAATTCTAAAGAGCGATTGTATTGAATACTTGATGAAAGTGACTAGCTAATGTTTGACTTCTAGCAGCAGAGGCATTTTAACAAATCCCTTGAAGAATGATTATGGCACAGACCCAGGCTACTTCTTAGTCGTTACATAACCTTTGCATGAACTGTAACAGTTGAATAAAACAATAGTGGATTAATGCTAGAGCGGGTGATTTTGAACATTATGCAACCTTCCTTGACATACTTCCTTTTTGTTATTTTTTTTCTAAAGCTCTTTAAAATAGAATATACAAATCACAATTCCCTGATCTATGGTTTTAATTTGTTTTGGACAAGGGAGAGAAAAGTAACTGCATTCACTGCAAAAACAAAAAACAAAAAGTTTAAAAACAGATGTTATCATTTTTATGTATGTATATTGTTGAGCCTGAAAAACAAAAGCCTGTGAGGCTCCTTGTCAATGAGTAACTGGTCGTGCATGAACTGGCAATCACAATGGGCTCCCCACCCCCTACAGTGGTCTTGTTTGCTTCCAGGGTGGAGGCTCTAAGCGCTCCATTAAACTGCCTGCCCCACAGTCTGCGAGAAGAAAGAACAGCCGTTGGGCTTGAGTCACCGTCAAGGTAGGAAGAAGCCACTTTTGTCCTGTGATGCTGCACGGCTGCTGATGAATGATGAGTCCCATCAGCAGACAGGTCACACGGTGGTAATTACACATGCAACCTCCATGCAAAACCTGGACCGGTGAAAAATAAACAAGGTCCACCCACCCCACTTCCCCAAAGTTTTTTTCTTTCTTTCTAGTTGACTTTTAGGATTGATTAATTAATAAAGGTTGCTGGAGGTAACTGGTCACAGAGAAGTTACAAGTATTGCCGTGAAGTATTGCCGCAAGTTTTCTGTGAAGTTCAAACCAAACTTAGGATACTTGGTTTCCTTCTTAAAGAAGAAAATTGAAGGTCAAACCATAAATGAATAAAGCTGTGAGTATGTGGACCAGTTTGTGTATTATACATTACATATTCCTAATGTCTAGCTGCTATGACAGGCTGGCAGAAACCAGTTTTTGTTACCTGAGGGAGAAAATCTAAATGAAGCATCCCACATTATGGAAAATGAGAAGATCAACTGCCTGACATGGAAGACAAATTGATCTCTCACACTTCACTTAAAGGAGCTGATTGAACTCACAGCTGAATTATTTCAATGCTGGAGACAGGAAAGCATCCTTAATCATAACTGGAAACAGGCATAATGTAGGTTCATGGCACATACAGCTCTTGCTGCTAACATCACTGCCCTGCACCACACCAGCCTCTAAATCCTCAGCGAAGGTTGCAACACTAGGTGTTGTGTGGCCAGGGCAATCTTGATTTCCTGAGATTTATGAATTACACTTCTGCTAATGCATGAATCACCACACCCTGTCACTATTATTATATTACTCCAAGTTGCCAAAGTAAGCCTAGATTCTTCAACCGCTATTGTAATAACTGGAAATCAGCATTTCTACAACATCCCACTTCCCAGTCTCTCATTAAATAACTTTTGCTATGTGAACTACCACTGAGCTTCTTTCTTTCTTTCTTTCTTTCCCTTCCTTCCTTTTTCTTTCTTATTTCTTCCTTGCTTCCTCCCTTCCCCCACCTCCCCATTCAGAAATATAAAACAACAAAAAAGAAAAATAAATTTATAAGCTATATAAAATGGAGTAAAAATCTGAAGTAACATTAGTTAGTGCTGCATAAACAAGCAATCAAAATCATTTTTATAAGTCAATGTTCAATAATTAACAAGGGCAGTCAGTATAAGAAGAAGAATAATAATTAGCAAGAGTTTCTATCTGATATAAAATATTCTCATCTTTAACAACTCAGGCAAAAGCTAATACATTAAATCCCTGTTAAGATAATTCCAAACTCTGAATACAATATGAGTTCAAATATAGAATTATAATTCATGAATGCTTCCAAGCTTAATTAAAGGTTAGGTTTGACTTATTTCTAAAATGCAAAGTGTTTTTTTTTTACATTCATGTATATTCCCAAGTTTGTTTGCTATTCTTCTAAAGAGAGAATTATTTGTGATTTCCAATAAAAGACAAAGTACAGTATACAGACAGCTTTTACGGTCCAGGGGTGGGATTCTACCTGGTTGGACCGGTTTTATAGAACTGGTTGTTATGATTCTGCCCAGTTTGGAGAACCGGCAAATTGAGCCACTGGCTGGGCCCGCCCCTCCCCTCCCCACCCATTCACTCCTTATTTGGTATGCGCGCCATCAAACTTGCCTGCTAAGTTGCTATTTTTCCTTTTTTTTCCTGACTATCAGCTGATCTGATGTGCCGGGAGATTTAGATTAGCTAGAAAGCAGGAAATCATTGAATTTCTTGCTTTTTAGTTAATCTAAAAGAAGAGCTGAACCTTCCTTAGGATTGAAGCTTCTATTTTTCAGTGCAGACTCAGATAGCAGATTGCAGATAGATAGATCTCTCGGTGAAGCTGTGATTCTGTGAGCAACTCAATCTGCCTGCTTGCTTTGCCTGATTTTGAGTAAAAGTTGCTCTTTTTAAAATAAAAAATTAAATATTTACATAAATATTTACAATATTTACATACAAGCCAGACCCAGCCAGTCACGTGACCACTAAGCCACACCCAGTCAGCAAGCCATGCCCACCCAGTCACATGACCACAAAGCCACAGCCACAAATTAGGCCACACCCACAGAACCGGTTGTTAAGAAATTTGAATCCCATCCCTGCTTTTACCATGTATAGAGTATCAACGCTGTACACTTTGTAGGGATGTAAGGTTTAGTAACTGAAACAATGCTTCCAGGAAAAAGAATTCCGACTTTAAGATTTATTTTATTCTACAATAAATCATCTTCCAGAATTGTTGAACTTTATAACATTACATCCAATATTTAAGAAAGATGAGACATAATTATTCCATTTACTACAGTTTTGGCAACCCGCATTAGACTAATGTGAGTTTCCTGGTACAATTCAAAGTGTTGTTTATCATTGTGAACATACAGCCTGGTTGTTTCAGGGACTGTCTTTTTCCATTTTTTTTTTCCTATCCATCTTTTAAGATCCAGCAGAGATGGCATGATTCAGGTCCTGTTTGTTAAGCAATGCCATCTTATGGGGCATGTCTTGTTACTACATATGCCCTCTGGGGAAAAAGATTCCCCCTTTGAGAAAAATCTCCCCTTTGAGATCCGGACAATTTGATCTTTCTATCCTTCAGGAGAGCTTTGAAGACCTAGCTTTTTTTCTAGGATCTGCACTAGGATAGCATCTGTATCCATTGTGAGGGATGAATTATGTTGTTGTGTGATGTTATTATGTAATGGGTTTAGTTTTTTTCCTTCCCAACATGACTGGGTTTTTTCCTTGTGTTTTTAACATAAAGCTTGTATGCTGCCTTGGAAAGTGGGCAGTTCTAGAACTTTAAATAAATAAACAAGCAGTTGGAAGCTGACCTGCAATTGTCTTCATTTTTGCTAACGTAAGAATGCAGCAAATAGGCAGATAACAGATAACAGATAATCAGAGTTGGAAGGGACCTTGTAGG